AGAGAAAAGGTAAGATGAGTACTGTGGAAGTGGTTGAATACGGCACACAGTTGGGCCAGTGTAGTTTAAAGTCAGAAGTCAACTGCCAGTTAATAGACTTTAATTACCATGTCGAAATAAAAGAATCCCTCTTCCCTATCTCCCAATAATAGGTCATGTAAAGGAGACAGACACAAAGGTAGAAAAAAGGTGAGGTGAGTATTGTGGATTAGTCGAATATGACATACAGTGGGGTCATGGTAGGTTGAAGTGAGAAGTCAACTACCAGTTAATAGACTTTTTTGCCGTAAGAGTATACGTTGCCCAGGGTGCACCATGTGGAGGTAAGTCTATCGCACACCCCAAATTCAGAATGTTCGGAGTGTTTAAGTTAGTTTTTGCGGTTAGTCATGGGAGCTCGAGTAATCTGCTACTAAGAGTACGTAGGTGAAACTGGCTTACCAGAGCCTACTCAATATGAGCTACTCTTTACAATAGACAGCTGGAGTCCCTATGCTCCAGGTTGTATTCAAAAATAGATATTTACTTGAAAAATCCTCTCAGGATTACAAATTCTTTATCAGAAAAGCGTATGATGGTCACAGAAACTAGTACAAGTTAATTTCAACCTATTATGAATGCAACTCATTAATCTAAACCCAGATCTTACTTTCTCTCTTCCAAAGCTTTTGATTTACCACTTTATTTGTATTCATATTTTGCTTATTTCAATACAATCTCCCTCAGTGACACCTTAGGCAGATACTAATCGCAGTTTCAAAAAAAACTGTCAAGCATAAAATACAAATAATGGCAAAGAGTTGTGTCGACTGGTTGACTTGGTAGATCTGATTAATTTCGACTTTTAAAAATTTCTGCCAAGTGCATCTCACACTGAGGTGGTTATTAGCAAATTAAACGATGCAAGAAAAGTTATTTTGAGATCTCATAAAATGAAAAAGATCATATTTGGGCCAGCATTTTTGAATATTTGAAGGATTGTGATAACCTGAACTGAGGTGGCAAGACTAACCAACAGTCTTAGATAGCTCACAAATAAGCAAATACATCACAATGCTTACGATGGATTATCATATATGAATCGTGAACGTGAAACAGTGTGCTATTAAATAAGTGAATGCACCACAGCCATAGTTTGAAAATATAATCTGAAGTTACCATTTTAACGCTTTCAGTTAAACTGTCACTCCTTATTCAACCACTGAGTCTTACTTACCCGTATACAGTTATTTTTATGAAAAAGGAAGAAGGAATATAGATAGCTTTTCTGCATAGTCGTGAATTATAAGCATGAAATAAGTAGGGAAGAATTATTTTATTTATTTCAAATGGCAGGCGTTTTGATAGCTTTCATTAGCCCTTTAATTGACTTCGGGCTTCACAGAGGGAAGGTTCATTAAAGTAGCAGAAAGTCGAGGTGTGGGGAACAGAAGAGCGATTCACAGATGTAAAAGAGGCAGACAGACACAAAGGCAGAGAAAAGGGTAAGATGAGTACTGTGGAAGCGGTCGAATATGACAAGCAGTCGTGCCATGGTATTTTGAAGTGAGAAGTCAACTGCCGGTTAATAGACTTTTTTGCCGTATGAGTATACGTTGCCCAGGGTGCACCACGTGGAGGTAAGTCTATCGCACACCCCATAAGTAGGGAATATAATGGGTGAGGTAGATAAGATTCGGTAAAGCAAGACTGATGAAATATTTCCGTTAAAGAGGTTAATACAAATTATTTGATTCATAAAATAGGAAATATGCATTGAATTGTTGCAAGCCATTTTTCAGTTTACACGTTTATTTATTTACTTAAGAGAATAGAGACACATTGATTACGACTTAATATTTACCAAGTAGATAAGACGATAAATATTAAAAAATTGACAATTGGCACAACTCTAAAAGCCGTTATGGCTACATTGCACATAGAATTGTCGCTCTCATCTTTAAAGTCACCGAGTTCTTAATTGATGAAATGTCGAAAATTTGTTGCCTAATGATCAGGTCGAATGGATGATTTTGGCTTACATAATTTTAACACCACATATCTTATTAAATTTAACTCAAAATAAATATAAATAATAATAAATGTATACTTAAAAACTTTTGAATCCTTTTAAAAATGCACATTTTAGCACCATTTTTTTTGTCCAGATGAATTATTAAATACGAACGGCAAATTCTTGTAAACTACAATTTTTTCAAAATTCTCCTTTGTGTGCTCATTTCCTTTTAAGGATCTAAAATACCCCCTCACATGTGTGTTATTTTTACATCTTATTAAAACAAATAAGAAAGATTTATAAGATCTACCTGAAGAGCCAAGTAATACTGCTTTATAAAAAAACAACCAATGAGAAAAAAATAACTTTCATTATTAAATAAACGATCAATAAGTGTGTGATATACGAGACAAAAACCTGCTGTAGTTTAGGGAACGATTCCTGAAATTTAATTATTATGACTGGGATTTTCCTATCGGAGAAAAATTGAATAATGCGATTGGGTATCTCGCTATTCATATCCACCCAACGTTGAAAATCGCAATATTTCTTGTATAAGTGTTGTCATATTGTTCTTATCAGAGTAATAAAATGATCAGACAGTTGACATGTCTGTCTATATATCATTTATTAAAGAGAGAAGTCAAGTCTGAAACTGGTCACTTTGAAAGCAAAGATGCAACTCAAGTTTATATACAAAGAGGGATTTTCATTTTTATTTTAAATATCTTGACAAATGTTCACGTCGAAGGCCATATATCGATGTTTCAACATTGATATTTGGCATGGGTTTTAATCACCTCATTTTAAATAGTCTTGTCTTTGTTTTATCGAATGTGTTAAAAAACATATTTAGTTACTTTACCCATGGTTATGATTTTTAACCACCCAAGGAATCTTTTTGAAGGTATGAAACGTAGGCTGTATCTCCTTTTCATTGCAAGAAAATTAAAAATGTTGATCTTTAAACACTATCCGTTTTCCAATAGCTTCTCACAATATTAGTCTTGACCACATTATTACTACAATTACTAATATGCCTATTCCTTTTCGGAGTTATTTTCACTTGAAATTTGAACAGTTTATAAATCAATCAGTTAAAATTAATAAACACAAAGGAAAGAAAAGGGACCAGCAATAAAATATTATTGTTGAGTTATGAATTTGGTGCAGGATTTACACTCTAACATATAGAACAGGAAATTCTATACACACCGAATTTAGGTTTAATATAAAAGGTTAAATAGGAAAACAGAATATTTTTTTGTGATTTCTAATGGATTATTTCTGTTCCTATTTTGACAACCGAATAAATAAATACACAATAATTGCAATGGCTTCGTATAATGACAAAATGCTTTAACAGATGGTATTGCATATCACTATTTGGGACAAGTTATATGGAGCTGATAAGCTCCATGATTAGAATATGATAATCAAGCAAAACCGAAGAATTTGTACGCGACATATATGTTATCAGATAAATGCATGTTATAACTGGCTAATATTCATACTTTATCACTAGCTACCAATTGGCTTTTGATTTTGCCTTCGCTATTATTCGACCAAATGACCACCTTCAACCCTCCCCTCGCCACACCCAGTAGATGAGAAACGTGTATATTAAATGCAACAAAATCATGTTCTATAACTAGTCTTATGTCATGCCAAGATTGCCTGCTTTAGAAAAAAATCCCTTATATTATTATTATTATTTCAAATGGCAGGCTTTGTGATATTTATAATTAGCCCTTAAACTTTGACTTCAACTTCCCCCAAGGTTGGGGGGGACCATTTATAGCAGTTAATTAATAGCAGTCCATTAACTGTCTTCTTGCTTCCCAGTATCTCTGGCTTTCCGTCGTTGCCTTTAGAGCTGGACATCGAATCAGGTGGGTCTTCTCCATTTCCTCCTGTAGATTACGTAGAGGGCATGTGGGTTGGATTTCCTCCTGTAGGTTACATAGAGGGCATGTGGGTTGATCGCTAGACACCGAATCAGGTGGGTCTTCTCCATTTCCTCCTTAGGTTACATAGGGGGCATGTGGGTTGAGTGTATACTCCCACGTTACATGGAGGGCATGTGGGTTGAGTGTATAATCCCAATTTGTGAGTGTTTTGCCAAGCAATCGTGTCCGGTACGTAGTCTAAACTCAGCAATGGCTTCGATTCTTGGCCAGTCGGCTATGTCGGAGAGTATCACTGTCCCCTGTTTCTCCTTTGTTTGAGCTTTGAGTGCACCTTGAGGTCTTGAATTCTCTCCTGATTAAGGCCTTGTGTGGAAAGACATCGGCCGGGCCATGCATTGCAAAATTGTTGTCCCCTTCTTAGCGAGTGTGTCAGAATTGCACACTCGTTGTCCCCTTCTTAGCAAGTGTGTCAACTTGCAAAATCACAAGTCATCGGTCTCTCCTGATTAAGGCCTTCATTGGGTGGAAAGACATCGGCCGGGCCATGCATTTCAAAATCGTTGTCCCCTTCTTACCAAGTGCGTCAGCAAGCTCATTGCCTTTAATGCCACAGTGACCAGGAATTCATTGTAGAACTTGCCTTTAATGCCACAGGGATCAGGAATCCATTGTAGGACCTCTGGTTTGATTTTTTTCTCTCTCAGAAGCTTATGGAGTTTTCTACATTCCTTTATCTCAGC